TTTATAATAAACCAGAAAAGATTGAGAAATAAAGAATGAATTATTGATACCATTTAGATGCGCTTCTATAATTACATATACATCCACGCTTTTCTCTCTTGTTCGTCGATTTCTTAAGTTAACTCTTAAAGATAGATTTCCACGAAAATATTTATAGGGTAGTTATTTCCAATAAAAGTATGGCAAATTTGGTATATATGGAAAGTAGAGACGCCCAATCTTACTAGAAAGGCACTGGATTCCCCGAAAAACACCCTTGGGGCAAGCAGTAGGCAAAAATGCCAGGGTATCAATCACTGTCAACCCAGCCGTTTATTGTCTGCCAGCTTGACTTAGGGGCCACTCGTTATTTCTTGATCGAATGGTTATCCTTTGTGGAAACAGTTGGGGGTTTAAACGGTCAAAAGAATCTGCGATAAACGACGGAAAAGGAGGTTGGAAGAAGATAACCCAAGAATTCCCTTATAGGCTTGGATATGTATGGTAAATGAACAACAATTTACGACGAATACAATCTTTACCCCCCCCCCCATTCAATCAAGCTACATGACAAACAAGTGTTCTTGAAAAACATTTCAACGGCATAAGGTGTTTTTTTCCAATTAAAATGTTTTGAGAGTGATTTGAAGCAGAGGTTTGATAGATAAATTAGTTTTAATGTGTTTTAGGAGAAATATATCACCAAATCACAGTTTGTACTTGCGAAGGCATCTTTAAAGATACAAGTGTTAAATCTGCCTATTACAGGTCTTTATTCTGGCTTCAAATGTAAATGTTATACAAACTATGTTTTAGACATTTATTCAAATAACAAGCCTATAATCAACTCGCTAGATTATCGGATGGCTGAGATTTAAATGGATTATAACACCAACGAGATTTAAAAATTTAACGATAACGTGGATAATCGATAAACTTCGCTCAGGATAAAGTAATTTGAGTAAAATTTTCAATATATTTATGAACCATTATAGCAAGAAGGGCGAGATCTTTATCTAATTCTTATATCTTAAGCAATAAGTACACCCCAATTTCTAAATGAGACTATAGAAAGTTTAATCTGCACACAGTTCATTACTAAGCCAGTATGTTTCCTCAGCAATTTGATTTAAAGGGTGTATGGCTCTATTCCTTGGAATCTTAAAATGGGTCTATAAACACATATTAATGTAATGTATGCTTATATAAAGTTATTTATATTCAATTTTTTTTTATTTCCAATCATTGTGTTCGGTGAAATACGTGAATAATCCAAATTAATAAACGACAGTCGTTTATGACTGCTTTGTCCATTCTACATGTTTTTGTATTATTATTTTGTCGTTTGTGAATCAGCCATTACTAATTACTTCTGTATTGTCTTGTAGGATATGTTTTTCTTTGTTCATTACTAATGGCACCCGAAACCATAGAAATACAAGACTCGTGTACTGATTTTAAAATGTTCATAATGTCTTAATTATTGGATATTAGAATCCCATATTTTCACAGCAAGATAACAACCTCAATATTGATTGAAATGGACCAATATTGAATTTTAATTCGTATAAGCTCCTTTTAATGTCTTTTCAACTCTTGAGATAAACAGGTAATCAGTTCTTTTTATTTCTATGGTTACGCGTACAATTTGCAGGTACGAGATGCCCGAAGAGCGTCATTTCCGTCCGGCTACCCTTCTTCGATTTCCAACTCTCGAGTAATCTTTTCGGAAGGACAAAGCACATAAATATTGCAGATGCCACCCAGGACAGGTAATTCCCTCGCTTTAAAAATCCCGATGGTTCTTCCCGACCCAAGCCCAGATTCAAACTCGTAACCTTCTAGTCGGCTATCCAGTATCCATTACCCCCCCCCCCCCCATGTCATCTGAAATCATTTAAATGCCTTGAAATTTTTTAAAATTTCACGCGGATATGGAAATTAAATGCACTTTTTAACAGGGTATATTTCCAGATATCACAGTGTACCTTTAATTGATACAAGTAGATCTAACCGATAATATCACAGTGGTTTGTTCTCACTTTCCCAGCAGATTAACCCTACTAATTAAGTGAAATAGGGATTAGTTATAGATTAGTGAGTTATACTCTGTTTTAATTATTGCATGAACAGTTCAATTTAACCTATGACATGTATGGTCGAAGGTGTAGATATAAGTTTATGGAACCATTTCTACACTGAAGGTGCAAGAACAACCAAAAATATGTTGAAAGTTGGCATTCAAAGTTAAAGAAAGTATCGTCAAACCACCCGAATATTTTTAGATTCATAGAACTACGTCAAAACAGGGTTTCACAGAGATACAAATTTTACAATATGGAAATGGAGGCGTTTCAGTCCAAAGAAAAGAAAATACATAGAATTAATCAGAAGAATACATGATGAAAAACAAAGATTATGAACTGGTTTGACGACTTTATATGAATATGGAAATTCGATATCACATTAAGTCGGATTTTAAATATACATGTACAATACTAAATTTGTTAATAAAATAACTTGTATGTAAAGTAGTTAATATTGATATGAAAAATATATATGTACATGCTAAATTTGTTAATAAAATAACTTTTATGTAAAGTGGTTAATATTGATATGAAAAAGACTATAGTTTTAACACAATTGTTACCCTAATTAGTACTGGTCCAATGATTTTACCTGGAAAACAATAGCTGCTGGGAAAGTGAGAACACCCCATCACAGTGTACCTTTAATTGATACTAGTAGACCTAACCGATAATGTGGCATCATCTTCCAAACAAAACACAGAATAAAGACAATCCAAAGTGAGTGACAAGGCATTAACTACGACATCAATAAATGACGACATACCGGAATAAACCGAATGTAAAGAAGAACTGCCAGCTACGCTAACACAGGACATTTCTCCGGCAGATAAGCCCAGTAAAAAGAGGTATATAAATGGCACATTTGCTTCATCGGAATTTGGAGAGATTCGGCTCAAAACAGTGAGCCGTTCAGAAATGATTTTTTAAAATGGCTTAATTGATTTGTCAACTAAACAAAAAGAAGAAATCTTGACGATTGACTTGATAAACGTATCATCGATAGGCTAGTTGATAGGGTTAACAAGACGATGTATAGGTGTCCGTTTAAAACAGCCGAATTGAGGCATATGCTAAATAAGTTACTGCTTATTACCCCACAATTCAAAGGATTTTATGTGGTCCTTTGTGGCATATTTATAGACCTAGTTCTGTTATTACTTTTTTTGTGATGACCCAAGGTCCTGATTTGAAACCGACCTTTGTGGGGCTTTCGGTTGTAACACTTTAACTAATTAGTTTATGTAGCTTAAGGTCGCTGATCTAAATCCAGCACCACATGAATAGTGATCATCTAATACGGTTATCCAGACGTTACTATAGAAGCCAATTTAGAAAATAGTTGCCAATGACGCGAATACAGATCACCTGTAAAGCAAGGGACCAGGATGAATGTAAGAGTCTTTTATATAGAATTAACCAATTACATAAGTGGGTCTTTGAGAAAAAGTAAGGAAGAATCATGTTAGGTGGATTCAGCTCTTGAAACATGTAATAGTTTACACGCTTAAATAAACACAATTAGTTTTTGTGTTGTTCTGTAAATATAGTTTATTGATCAACACAAAGGTAGGGAAAAAACAGTTCAGAGCATATTCCTTTTTTTTCTTCATGAAACTGCGTAAAACAGCTAGACAATGTGTTAAAATTAGTAACGATTGGCGCCCCGTCTACTATTATACACCTACACATAATGGGAGCACTTCCCATTTGTTTCAAGATTCGAAACGTCGTGACATCTAATGACAGTTCTCTACTGAAATTCGATATAGGGTTATCAAAAAACCTTGTTTACTTTGAAGAGGCGGCAATCAATGAATAAGAGTAATTTCGATTTGACTATTAAAGTACATCGTATGTATTAATCTGTGTGCCAGATCGTCGATAGAATATGGGATACTGCCCCCTCGAACACAAGAACAGTCAATTGTTTTCCATATGTGTTTAAAAACGACGAATTGTATAGAATCGTGTATTTGTAGAAAAATTTATATCATGTTAATTGTGCTTTCAAGAAAAACAAATCGCATACTGTAGATTAAGGACTATGAACGAATATTCAAATCAAATCCGCAACTGTCCCTCTTATTGGAAAATGAATGATTTGAAACTCCACAAGCTATAGATGTTATTAATTTGAAGCAAATAATGTTTATGTTTCTTTTCGATAAGTAAGTACATTAGAGTTATGCGCGCCGACCAGAAAAAAATGTTAGTTGATATCTTAGACTTTCTAAGAATTAATTTGTTTTTTTATGTATATTTAATTTCTCTTTTGTTTTCTGGGGAAACATGCGAATACTCGGTAACCAGCAACAGAGCATTCGATAGAAACGTCCACCACGCTAAACAGAAAGAATCTGGTTGTGTATGGTGATATTTTACAGCGTCTTTACCTACACGTCTAACAGTTTTAACCACATAACTATAAGCTGTTGCATCGTTATGCGCACTCCCGGGCGCATTGAAAGATGGGAAAGGATACAATCCGAACAAAAATTATCAATAACGATTGGCGGTGTTTTTGTAGCGGCCATAGAGACGAAATATCAAAATGCAACTAGACTATATTACACTTCAGTTTATAATTTAAACGAATTTGATGTTTGGCAAGGGATCAGAAACAGCGAAGTTGGCGTATTTTATATCAAAAACCACTTTTATCTGTTAGCTTACACGTATAACAAAAAGCCCAAAGGATCGTATCCTCTTTTAGTTGTTATGTCGAGGTGTGAGTTGATGCCGGATTTTGAAAGATCATTAAGTAAAAAAATGTCCAGAATTGAATATAAATAAAGTTATCAAGTTTATCCTTTACGCGCACCCATCAAATTTTGATACATAAAAAAGTATGAATGACATGTGAGCATTGTTCAATGAAAATAAAATCTTTCCTTAAATTGCATATTTCTATAAAATAATAAGAATACATACCATTGCCTCTGTTCCTACTGCAAAAACTAAAAAACATAATGTTAATTTCACTGGTGATTGTTCCATTGTCTTTTAAAACTTAAAGAATAGTTTCCCCGATTACTTAACAGTTAGTTCCCTTCACCGCGCTCTTCTACCAGTCTGGAATAAAATCGTCTTTATCAGCTCGCTAATGGACGATCATGAAATCAATGCGGATAGTTATAGCATTTCTCCACCTACCTATACGCTTGTCCCACCTCTGTTTATTATCATTCAACCCTCCATTCTAATGTTACTATGGATATGAAGAGAAATGGGCGTGTCAATAAGGAATTCTGTCCACATACAATACACCAATTTTACCAATATATTCGGTTCTTAATAGAAACCACAATTCCACATTATTTTTATTAAGTTTGTTTATGTGCATGAACATAATTATATATCAATACGGTATTGGTGAGAATATCTACAGTTAATCAGTTATGTGTATCTTTTAATACAAATATTGACATACACTGTATAATAGACACCCCGATATAAAGATGAATTGGTTAATACCCAATTAAATCTGTCAATGATTCGTTGTTGCTAATTGCTGAGCTTTAAAATCTAGGGATCGTTTATTTCGGGCTAGTTGGGGAGATTGGAAATTCCCACATGCAAAGTTAGACACATCAGGGTTTAACCCCCCCCTACCCCGCCGCCACATCCCATCCCACACCCACAACCCAACACTGGCCGCGGGTCTTATTGTTTACATGCAAGCAACGAGAATTCCCGATACTGGTGAATTATCCGTTTGGAAAAGACCTCCCCAATCGGTCGGATCTCTTCCACAACCGCCTTGATATCCCCAATCAACCTGAAAAGGGAGGGGGAGAGAGAGAGAGAGAGAGAGAGAGGGGGTTCTTACGACCATCTAACATAATATGGTATGTCTGGATTTAAATAATCCGCCTGTGTATTGGAGTCTTTAACAGTAGGGGGAATATGAGATCCCAGAGAAACCGCGACAGACCTTACAATCCAAAGTGAACACGCTAGCTGTTAACCAGTATGAAAAAATAATTAATACAAAATGGGAAATGCGTCCGGTTTTTTTCTAGTGAATTTTTTCCTTGGATTTGCCCTGAACATTTTTAAATGAGAAACAAATAAATAAGATGAAACAGAAGTATTTTAGCCATAGATGTAATTTAGTGTCACCAGCCCTGCATTCTTTTATTTATGGATCCCTTTGATAAAAACTGAAAATGTCCCCGCGAGTCAATGCCAGTAATTTGCGACTATTTGATACATTACTGTTGAACATTGTTTTATATCTCCATGGGTTACTTTAATGTATCTAAACAATAACGGGATTGTTTCCTAAATTTTTCCCAGTGCATTATTTAGCAATTCCCCGATAACTCCATTCTATTCTGCGTATTATGCTAGTAGTAATTACTTCAAAAATTAAATGAAAGGTATTCTAACTTCCTACTGTTCTGTACCAACTGGGCTAGTGAAGACGGGCATACGCCATACAATGGGCTATGAGGGAATTTTTCCTCTACTCCTCATCGAATTCCAATCATTAAAACTGGATCCGGACCTCTTGGTTAGTGAAGCAGCGCCCTACTCTCTGAGCCACTAATTATAGGATGACCGCACCACACATGACAGTAACTAAGTAGAGACCCACAAACAAACACAATGAAATAACTGACACGAACTACCAAATCAAATCAATCGACTTGGTACTCGGTGTCGTGGTTTCCCTCGGTAGGCGGCGTCGGCTGGATAAATTATTTTAAATTCCATTAGTTTAAAACCAGCGACCTTAGCCTTTGCATTTTGGAAAATAAAATTGGAGTCGTCCATGCAGTACTTATAGACCTCAGTAAAAGAAATACAACAATAAGTCAACTAAAAATAAACAGTGGGGTTGTATAAAAGTGTAATGGAGTTTAACGTCCACGCGATATAACTTAGGTCATTTCGGGACTAACATGGTTCAATTTTATTTCAATAATTCGCTTGCGCGTAAGGGAGTTAACGTCCTTTCTCTTGTTTAAGGCAAGATTGGAAAAAAGAACTTTACAGCGTTAACAGGGTTTCAGAAATAGGTGTGTGTGCGAGGGGGGGGGGGAGTAGAACGAAACGTCGCAGAACTTTTGACCCCAAAACTTGACACCGATTTTAAACAAGCAGTTGCCATGCAGGATACGTCCACATTTTGCAAGAGATGGGCAGAGTACAAGCTAATAAAATTGGGTTTTCGTACAATCAGGGGACATAATCCAGGAAGTTATGGCCCGATGGCCCGATATGCGCGAATATCAAAAAGAATTGAAATCGCTGGGATTTTAAGTTTTATCAAAATCAGATAAAAATTCTGACCTCTAGAGGGTCAACGTAACCTTGGTATTGTTTACACTATTTGCATACAAGGAGTGGCTTTCATTAGGTTGTAACACTAATATATTTAAACGTTTTTTTAAAATCGGATAAAACTTGTGACCTCTAGTGGGTCCACAAGCTAAACACTGGATTTTTGTACAATCAGGGGACATAATCCAGGAAGTTACGATCCGATATGCGTGAATATCGAAAGGACCCGAGATCTTTGGAATATAAACATATATTTTAAGTTTCATCAAAATTGGACAAAAATTGTGACCTCTAGCGGGTCCACAACCTGATGTTTACACTATTTGCGTTCAATGAGCGGCAATTTCCCGAAATTCAAATTCAACCTTTATTATGGTGGAATGGTGATATATTTAAACGGTTTTTAAAATCGGATAAAAATGTGACCTCCAAAGAAATTCGAACTCAGTCATCATCAGGGTGGGTGTAACGGTGATATATTTAAACGAGTTTTAAAAACGGATATAAATTGTGACCTATAGAGGGTCCAATGCTAAAATTGCAATTTTTTCGAACAATCAGGAGGCATAATCCAGGAACGTACAGTCCGATATGTGTGAATATCGAAAGGAGACGAGATCTTTGTGATATAAACACATGTTTTAAGTTTTATCAAAATCGGATCAACATTGTGACCTACTATTTGCGTACATGGAGCGGCCATTTTGTCCGGCAGTTACGGTCCGATTTTCTCGACATACGAACTCTATCATCAATCATCATTATAGCGTAACGGTGATATATTTGAACGTTTTTTTTTTTTAAATCGAACAAGATTTGTGAGCTCTAGGGGGACCACAAGCTAAAAAGGCAGGAACCGCGATCGCTGGATAGAAATTGTGACCTCTAGAGTATACACAAGTTAAAAACGTAATTTTTCTTACAGGGGTTATAATCCATGAAGTTTTGATCCAATATATGTCAATATCGAAAGGAAACGAGATCGTTTGGAGATAAACCTATATTTCAAGTTTCGGCAATATCGGATAAGAATCGTGACCTGCAGACGGACCAACGGACAAGGGTTACGACTATATACGTCCAAACCCATTGTTTGGGAAATCCTGCATATACCAATGTACTAAATATTTTGTTGGTGTACACTGTCAACGATCACACGCCAAACGGTGTGTAATGAGAGAAATGTTGCCGGGGCAGACGTTTTTTTTTTATGTTCCCAGGCCCTCCTGACGATTAGTAATAATTTGTTTTAGACATTTTCTAGACGTATCTGTATAAGACTGACACGGAATTATCGTTAAAAACTTTCTTAGCTTTTCCCTTAAATGATGACCTGCTACTGCTGCTACTACTACTACTAATACTTCTAAAGGTTTACGTCCGCTTTGGCGATTGACCGTAGTAGTATATTGAGGAATTGACGTCTTGTCGCCCACAATTCTCGTGTTACGCCCGTGCTTTAACTGAGACCCTTCTAGTTATTGACAGAATTACAGTCCGGAATGTTGAATCGAGTATTTGCTGACAAAAAATGGACGGGCAGTTGGCGTGGGTGTATAAATATGATAAGTTTTTAAGGAATCAGGCCATTTTGTGTCTGACTAATAGGATTGAGGTCATTGAATAATCTTTTATGTGAGGAAAAATTAGGGCTAAATATTTTGCATTGTTTTCCTACAGAGTGACCAATTTGCTTTGCGTAGATGGGTAAAGTAGGGGTGTGAACCTAAGAGTTTCGGCAAATATTCTATAAAATATTTTCTGGCACTAATAATGCGACGCTTGTTTTGTGTAATATAATATAGGTATTCTCCGTTTCTTCCAGCTCGCGGAGTGGTCCAAAAGTGAGGTATTGGCTTCTTGAATGAACTCTCGTGGTTCGTACCCCAGTGTACTAAATCCTCAAGATTTCAGTCCCGATTACCACTACCTTCAGTACGTTTCATGCTCGGTTCACTCACTCAAGGGTGGCGTCTGCAGGACTGAACGAAAACGAAAAACTGGGTCCACAAATCTACATCATGGGGTTCAAGTAAACGAACCAGTGGCGTTTGAAATTCGATGAATATTTGGCGGAAGACAAACTACAGAGATATTGCAAGAAATAAAAAAACACAAAACATCCTAGGACTTGAGGCGAGGGTCCAGGGGCCGTCTAGGCCCCGAAAGCTCCTGGGGATCTAGATAGACAGAGACGTTTTCTCTCTAATGAAATTTTTCAGCAATGAAGTGAAATATTATTTCTTTTCTAAATCCCTTATCATGCAAACACAGGCGATGGTGGTTTCCTGCGTTGCTTAACTAGACAAATATATTCATAATAATACAAAGGTTGTGGACACTCTAGAGGGTACAATTTTCATACGATTTTGTGGAAATAGACAATGTATGTTTATAACCGAAAGATGTCAACATCTTTAGGTTGTGGACCTGCTAGACCTTTTAGTTTTTGATACTGATTGTCAAAACCATTCAAATATATCACCGTTACACCATAATTACGGCTGAGTTCAAATTTCGTGAAAATCGGACCGAAATTGTCCGACAAAATGATCGCTACCCTTAAAAGCATGTAATACCCAGGTTGTGGGTCATCCAGAGGTTCGAATTTGCATCCAATTTTGATATATTCCAAAGGTCTGGGTTCTTTCGACATTGGCGCGTATTGAACTGTAACTTTCTGGATTATGACCCTTGATTGTACGATATATGGCGTTTTTAGCTTGTGGGCCCTCTAGAGGTCACCATTTTTTTTTATCTTATCATGAAAACCGTTCAAATATATCACCGTTACATCATAATTATGGTTGAGTCGGAATTTCCCGAAAATCGGACCGAAACTTTCAG